TCTTTTCCGGGGCTGTAAAATGGGCCGAAGTCAGTTTCGAATAGAGGCCCGATTTTAATTCTATATTTAAATGTCATGTATTGGGCCAGATCCAAGAGTTGAGATGGGTTATTCTAGAATTAAATTAAATGTCATATATATTCAAAATGGAAACTTTGAAAAAAGGGGGAAATTTGAGAGTGGGGTCTAGATTTGGGTGTGTGTGGTGGGAAATGTGGGGTTGAATCTATGGAAAAAAGTGGGAGTGATAGGGAAAAAGAGTGTCTCCACCGTATCAAGAAAAGGCTGCAATTGCGTGCAGTCGCCTCTTTTGTTTTATTATTATATGTCACGTTCTCTCAACATATGTTTAATTTGATTGCTTAAATACTGATATTTTGGTTCTTCTATTAGTCTTATATTTTCAATCTGAAAAACTTCGATCTATTTTTAATTTTTGTTTATTTTAATCTATGTACTTTTAAAATATTCATTATGAAACTTTTAATTTAGGATTGAAGATTGGACCTCCAACCTCTAAACATAGCGAGATACCTAAATTACTGCGTTTTAGTCATATATGTTCGAGGAAATATTTTGAGTAGAACATGTAGGGTGGATATTTGAACTCGACCTTTTGGTCGGAAATAGATGTCTTAACCCGTTTAGCTATATTCAAGTTGACATTTTAGGAACTTGTTAGACACTTGTAAAATTCATAAATTTATTAGATATAAAATTGCGAATTTATAGATTATTAAACATTTATTTAAAGTTCAAGGATCAATTAGACGCTTTAATTTAATGAGAGAATGAAATTACCCCATCACTTAGAAAATTGAAAAACTATCAAAATAACTAGATTTGTAAAAGCTTATTTATTCACATTATTTCATTAATTCTATTGAAAAAAGGAGAAACACCTTCGTATGCTCAAGATGACAAAACTGCAAGTATTAAAAAATTTGAGTTCACAAAATAATATATTTGGTCTATTGAATAATAAAATCATAAAATAAAATAATTTTTTTTAAGGAAAAACAAATTTATAATAATATTATATTATAGAAAGATAGTTCTCACACCTCCCTATTCATAGGAAGAATTAATTAATTTATTATTATTATTTTATGAGGAACCAATTTTACCTTCCAAACTTTAAGGGAACCAATGAACTAAGAATCTTTCCCCTTCGATACACATATATATTTCTTTACATTTTTAATAATCCATCTACCCTTCACTTAACAATTTTGAGTTAATACTATTGTAATCAAATAGTGGTTTTGTAGTTATCGCAATTTCAATGAAAATAATCATAAAAATGTGAGGTGATGTAATAAGTAAGAATGTAGAATGTACTTTATAATATATTAACTAAGAAAAGTTTAATCATATTTGATTTAGTTATTGGTGAAATCATTAATTAATATTTGAACAAAATTACTGCATTAAATCATCTATAATGTCACTAGCTTTTTCTTTCCTTTTTTTTTTAAAAAGACTAAAAGTAATATAGTAGATAAAAAATGTTACAAATATTAATTCACCAACATTTTTTATTCAAGTGCATTATTAATTTATTGTTCATATATTATGGTGGGGGAAAGACAAAATTCCTTCCTTGGTCCTCACTAAAAGAATTCAAATCCCTTTAACAAAAAAATTGTTTATGCCTTCAAAATTTGGACAAATGAAACAAGGGAATATAATCCCTATACCTTCAAACAAGAGAATAAAAATCAAGGGGCGTTAAATTTTGATTATTCAAGATTTTTTTTTTTTTTAAGTATGGTGGTTTAATCTATAATTTTCTAAAAAAAAATTGGAGGAGGGAGAAATAAATTTTTAAAAGTTTGGAATAAAATTATATTTTAGGTTTAAATCTCATTTTTGTCGCTAAAATTTCAAATGTATTTAATTTTAGTTTTTGATCTTTTAAACATATATAGTTTAGTCCTATACTTTAGATAAATAATTATTTTGGTTTCTAAAATTTTAAAATATATTTTCTCGTATATAGACTTTAAAAAAAAAAAAACTACTTTTGGTATTTATATTACTTCGTCATATAATATCTGCCGACCCTCTCAACCAACCATATGGTGGCTAAAATACATATCTAAGTCCAACCATAATCTATTTGTTAAAAGCAAGATCACAATGAATGATCAAATTTGTTCTTTTTTTTTTTAAGTTAAGATCATAATAGATTATTTGGATGTCCGTGGACCAAAATATAATAATAAGAGAAATTTTAATGGGTCAAAATTGATTGTTATATTTGTAAACCTGTCGAATAGAAAAATAATTTACTATCAAATAATAGCTTTTTATAATCAGTGATATATCATTTTCAAATATTTTGATTGTTATAATATACCAATTATAGATCAAATAGTAAATCAATATGCAAACAGATAACTAACAGAAAACAACTATTTTAAATTCTGTTGATATGGTATTAAGTGATATACCTACCAAATATGAAATAAGCATGCCAATTGAACACTAATAAAAAACCAAGTATACTGGTGATAAACCTAATAGTAAATTAACATTAAAAAAGAATATTGATAAAAAATTAAAGTTACATCATCATTGATATACCATTTTAGTTCTATTGAATATGGTATATTATGATAGGCTACATATTAAATAAGTATGTAAAAAGAACACATTGAAAATGAAAATTACATAATCAATGATATACTATTTTTATAATTATACTGACACTAATAGACGTGATCACTAATAGATGCACAACGTTGAGATATATATTACAAGTTTTTTCAACTATACGTACATTTTTATTCATTTGAGAAATTGTGTTACATTATATTTGCATTTTATTTTTAGCTGGTACTAGATGTACCATTATTTTGAGTCAGGTTGTTATATATGTCATTAACCCGAGTAAGAACCTAAAACTCTAGAATCAATATATATTTTGAAAGATATAATAACTAAAATTTTGAGAGTTGAAGTAACAAAATGTGATTTTGAATGTATATTTTAACATTAAAAATGTGTAACAAAATCTTATATTGGCAATTATTTAGAAAGGGATGGAATGTTTGGGTTAATGTAGTGAGTTGTGGGCTGCATGTGATTGGCGCAACGAGATTTCCGCAATCAGAGGAAGAAGATGAGACAACCTTTATAGAACTTTTCCACTAAACTAATCCAACTTATCAAAACAATATATTATAATAATTTTATTAAAGCCCAATTTCTCACATTACATGTAACATGTTTTTATTTGACCAATTAATTTGTATAATTCTAGCCACGTATACACACACTAATGTCCAAAAGCCATGTTTATAATATGGTTTTCGTCTTTCCATCTCTTTAAATCGTTGATGATAGAAAATATTGTCTAGAAAAAGATCCAAAATAAATTGAATATATGGTATGTTTTATATTATATGTTAGGGAGGTGTTTAATTATGACGTGTTATAGGTTGGAATGCGAACAATGCATTTCATTGGTTATGACCTGAAGAAATTCAAGATAATGTTTTGAAATGGAAATTGAATTTATTAAAACGAAAGAGAAGGGCCACTTGGGTCCCTCTCAGTTGGTATGATACTCTTTTTTGAGTGAAATAAAAAACAAAACTATTTAGAATTTAAGATTAAAATGGACTTTCTTTAGGGGAGCTCTAATCTTAGTTCCAGGTATCGTTGAACTAAATTATTTGGTTAAATCTTTCAAAATTCCTTACATTTACCAAATATCAATTTTTTTATTCTTATTTACATTACGTACAACTCTGTTTCCCACATTAACTCATCATATATTACTTTTGTTAATGTTAAAAATATTTCGGGAGACTCAACAAAATTATACAGACGCAACTTGAACATAACTTAACTGGTTAAATCATTTGTTTCCGATTCAAAGATCGTGAATTCGAAATATATACTAAATTGAAATCAAGTATGTCAAACCAATCACAATTAAAGACATATATTCTCATCTCAAAGATGATTCGATTTCCATAATACAATGATTGAACTAAAAAAATCAAGTATAAACCATACGGCGTTGGTATAGACCGAAATTCTATTATGATCTAATCCTGCCCGTTAATAGATATCGGAGCTTTACAATATTTAACTGATCACAAGCTATATATTCTATTTACTATATAAGTCTCTCGAGAATTCATTAAAGGAATGTTTCCACCAAAAAAATGATTTCTTCTTGCATATTCCTGCAGATTTTCTAAATTAATCCTGCGAATACATATAATGAATATGCGAATATTGATGAAAAGGAATATTTAACCAACATTTAAACTTTCAATTTTGAAATAAGAGTACATTAAATTATTTAATATAATTTTATTTATTTTGAATGAATAAACCATCATATCAACGGCCTAAAGGAATAATTTGGTCGACAGTGTCAGTGATTGTACAAAAGCTAGGTGGACTATATGGGCAAGGCCAAGAAAGTGCACTATCAAATTATACACTTTTTTTTTTCTTTTTTTTTCTTCAGTCTTTAGTTTCTCAACTGTATTTCCCGTGACCACAGAGGCTTTGATCAAAGAAAAGTCGAAAACAGAGAGCGCGTGAAAAATTGAATCCACTGCCGGCGTAAAGCAGGAGAAGAAGACGAAGAAGAAGAAGAAGAAGAAGACGATACAGTCCTCTTAAAACTCGCAGAATTTGGCGCACAAAAAAGGGTCACTGATTTGGTTTCGTTTTTACTTTGTCATCACTCATTTCCCCTAACTACACGCCATCATTTATGGACTCTTCCTAATAGCGCCTTTCATCTCTTTCTCTCTCTCGCCTTCTCTCCAAGTTACTGGTAAAACCCATCTTGTCTCTGCTGCTCTTTCTATTTTGTTTGGTTCTTTGTTCTCTGTTAAATGCGCTGCTGCTCTGTGCATCTGTCTTCGTTTTTTGTTTCATCTGGGGTTGTAAAAAGGTTTGTGAATCGATTCAATTTGTATCTCTTTTGCGTTTGTTTTTGCATTTGGACAATGTTAGTCCAAATTGTCATCTGGGGTTTCGCTGATATTTGGGGATTAGGTGTTTGATTTATGTCCTTGCTTTTCTAGATAGTGCCAAAAATCTTTTATTGTCCCTCTTCATCTTCTGATTATCGGAATTTGGGGGAAGTTGGTGGGTGTGGATTCTTCATCTCTATGAAATCTAACAATCAGAGTTTCTGAATTCTCTTCTCCCTCACGTTTTTTTAAAGAATTTTCTTGCTCATAATATCACTGATTTGTGTCGTGTCTGATTGAAGAAGAGTTAGTACCAGCTCAGAACGTAGATTAGTGAAAGGGTTTATCACATTTGCTTTATTTGCCAGTCCAAAATTGGCGGTGTTCCTGGTTTTTACGGTGATCTTTATTGCAGCCGTACTTCGGTGGTTAAATTTTCTTCCCAAAGTTCTTGCTGGTTCTGGCACGCGATGGAGGAAAGAAAACTCAATTTTAATGCACCGCTCATGTCCGTGAGGCGATCGTCCATGGCATCAAGTTCTTTTGCTAAAGTGAATGAAAAGAAATCTGAAAATCCCCAACTTAATAGACGGGGTACCTTTCCAGTTACTAGACAACAGTTCAATTTGGATCAAGTGACGGAACCAGTTGCAGTTCCCTTCCACTGGGAGCAGATTCCGGGAAGAGCTAAGAATGATAGTGGCTCAGCCTCACCTGAGATTCAGCTGTCTCAGCCCCCTGAGAGGACTTGTTCTACTCCAAGACTCTCCTTTGGGAGGGATTTGGATGTTAAAAAACATGGTTTGGAAACGGAGGCTTGTCGTGGAAATGGGTGTGACGCAAATTCTTCAAATGCCATTGTTGTTAGATTAGAGTCGACGAAAGCTGTACCAATCGATACGAGGAATTTGGCATCTGAAGATGATGATGATGATGATGATTACTCTGATGCACTTGACACATTGTGCCCCTCTGCTGCATTATCGGTTAACAACTGTAGTGTAAGTGGTCTAAGTGGATACAATGGTCCGATGGTGAAACCATCGGGAACCTTTCGTACAGATCCTCAGACTCGGGATTTCATGATGAGCCGCTTCTTACCTGCAGCCAAGGCAATGGTTTTGGAGCCTGCTAAGTATTCCTTAAAGAAGCAACTTGTAGCGGTTGAGCAACCTAGACAAGCAAAGAAGGTGACGTCCGAGAATAGGAGGATGTCTCCATTTAAACGACTCGAGTCTACCATGTTACTACAGTATGGCAAAGATGAAGTAGATGACGAAAGTGACTCTGGGGATGATGAATATGACAATTCAGGTAATATATCGGCTAGAGGTTGTGGTCTTATACCCAATATATGCTTCAAAAACTCTTTGGGCCTTCTTAATCCTGTGCCCGGGATGAGAATCAGGACCGAGTCGCCCACATATGTCACTAATAAAGTTGGGGGATCAAGCAGAACAATGCACCATTCACACAGCCAGAAGATCAACAAGGTTACTGTTTAACTATTTTTGTTCTTCCCATTCACCTGCTATAAAAGTATAATTGCTGATAAATTTTACATCTTACAGCATGCTTGGGATGCTGCTTACAAGCAAAAACCAGAAGCTGCTGTTGGATCACCTAGGCTACAGGAGGTAAAAGATAAGTGGATTGGCGAATCAAAAGCCTTTTCTACCTCCACCGACCTGCAAATGAGAGGCAGGTCTTCTCCCTTCAGGCATTCAAGGGCTGCTTCTCCCTTTAGGAATGAAGCACCACAGTCTCCTTGTAGAAGGCAGTCAGTTATAGTTCCTAAAGAAGTTGAGATTATCTCCAAATCCAAAGGTGATACTGACTTTCATGATACACCATCCATTCGAGCAACTAAACAAGGGGTTGATATGCCAAGTGCCATGATTGAGAAGACACTCTATATAGACACTGGAAGTGTTGCTGAAATAACTCGTCCACTAAATTCAAACCTTTTGGATGCCGAGAAGAACGTCGATCGTGCTAGCGGGAAGAATGAGACAGGATGTGGAACCAGGGAGTTGGAAGAAACTACCACTGCGGAACCTTCTTTCCTAGAAGTTAAATGCTTAACTTTGGTTGAAGAGGGGAGGCTGGAGCGTGAAGCTGCAGAATCTAAAAGCAAATATGCTATCACTGATGGCTCCAAAATGGACCATGGACTTGACAAAGAAGAGATTTCTGGATACTCTAATGTGTGCACTGCTGATGAAGATGAATACTCCAAGGCCAATTATCAGATAGCAAAAGTAGAAGATCCAGCAAGCGCCAAAGTAACTTCTGTGATATCTTCTCAACCTCCACCTCTACCGAAGTCTCCTTCTGAGTCTTGGCTTTGGCGTACCCTGCCTTCAGTTTCCTCCAGAAAGTTGCTTGCAGGATCAAATCTTGGAAACAAGTTATATCACAAGCAGCAGCAGCAGAGTCCTAGAACATCAGCCAGCAGCACCAAGTGGGAAACCATTGTAAAATCTTCGAAATTGCGTCACGATCATGTTCGTTATTCCGAGGTAATGTCATTTACTCTCGAACATAATATGGAACAACTTTGCTGGCTTGAGAGCAAGAGATTAATCCTCTTTTTTTATTTTCGGTGTTTTCAGGAATTAATTCCTCGTGTTTCTCAGCACTCGACAACAGAGAGTTTCAAGTAGTTCTCTGTAACGCTCGGGTGGATTGATTGGCTTTGTGTGAAAGTTTATACATCAGCAAACCTGTACTTTATTTCTGGATTCATATCCCCTTCCTTTCCTCTAAAAATTTTGAATAAGTGAGGAGGATTTGAGCTGCCCTTTTCCGTTTATGTCTTCTGATATTTATGTGAAGGCATGTACCCGAGGAAAGATTCATATTCATAGAATGAATTCTGTATAATGCAGCGTAGGAATGAATATAGCTGTGAGGTAATTGCATTGGCTTGTATATTTGAAGTGACAGGTGTATTAAGATAATTTATGATAATAGAAGTTTGTTCATAAATTGTGGTCCGAGCCCTGTTTTCTTTTACTTGGTGCATTTTTTCAATCTGTCAGGCATTTTCCTTTTCACTTTTCAACAATTATCTTCATTTACCGTTGAAGCTATTAAATATTAATATCAATGTCTATGATTTTATGAACTTGAACTTCCACTTCCACCCAGGAATATAAAATTGGAGTTTTTCAACTCGTGACTCAAGCAAGAAAATCAATGGCTATTTGAATTGATGACCGCTGAAAGTTCCAGATATAAAATATTAAGAAGAGTTGGTTCGAAAGCTCTAAAAAGAATTCTAAATTGAAGAGACGCTTTTTGATGGAGACATCAGAGGAAGGCATATCTTCTTTTTTTTTCTTTTTTTTTTTTTTTAATCTTTCTACAGGACTCAAAATATGGCTATTTGAAAAACACATATTATATTTACGTAAGCAAGAACCTGAAGAAGTGTAGGAAAATGAAACCCAAAACAAAAGAATTGAGCTCTGTTTTCTAGTTCAATCAGCATACGAAAAAAATTTCTTAAAAGAGAAGTATGGAACTGTAAAGAACATAGAGAAAAGAAGAGTTCAATTCAATCTGAAAGAAGTAGGAAAGAAATTTGAGTAGAAACTTTGATGTATTTTTTTCTCGATCAGCACTTAGTTTTGATAGATCAAGGTGTCACTTTATTTGAATTTGTCAAATGGACAAACCGTCTTTTCCTTATCTTGAAAGTTCTAAATTTCTTCGAGCAAATCAAGATTTTTTTCCAAACTGTGACAGAGACGCATAGCAAGCCATTAATTGCCAGAAGCAAAAAATTAACCACCAAGACCAAATTTTTGATTAGTAGTCCAAGTCCATGTTCTTTAAAGAAACCCAGATCACAAAATCAGAAGAACCCAATTCCACAACGATGAAATCAATCAAATACAAAAAAAAAAAAAAGGCGTCACATTTCAGAGCTGTGGCATATGGGTGTTGTTTTGTTTGCTTGAAAATGGAAATCAATGGAAATGGGAGGTTGCATAGGTGGCGAAATCGCAGTGGTTAGAGGAAGCTCCTAGATAATCTATCGAGGGAATATAGTAAGTTTGCTGTGCAATGGAAAATGGGTAGAGAGAGAGAGGCTGGCACGAAAAGGAGGGGAGGAGAGAAATGAAGGGAGGCTTGGTCAACGGCGAGGAATTAAAATAAGAAGGGGAAAGCGCGTCCTTTTACGACGGAAGTGGAAGCCCTATACGCCACTCACTCTCTCTCTGCCGCCACAATGACAGTTAGAAACGGATAGTGTTTTGTTTTTCCAACTTTCAACGGTTTAACCACGCCCATCCCAAAAATTTTTAATAAACCCAATAATTATATATAATAATTGGGAAATTTTGACGATTTTTTTTTTTTACGAAAAAAAATCCCGGCTTGGAGAGAGAAAGGTGGGAGAAAGAGAGGGAAAACAAGAAGCTGGTAAGGAGAGAGAAAAGGGAGAAAAGGAAAAATAGAGAGAGGGATAGGAGAGAGAGAGAGACAAAGACAGAGACCTGGTAGAGACCCAGAAGATGGTCGAAGAGAAAGTGCTCTGAGATCATCCTGAAGGGGCAGTAATAGAAAAAGTTTCTTCATATTTTTTATGTCCTTTCTTTTTTCTTTGCTGCCTTTCGTCTCCCAATTTTTGCCCTTACCCCACCCACCTTCGTTTCTTATTCCTTAACAAACAGAATTTCACAGCACATTGTTTTTGTTGGGTGTAATTTACGTTTATAATTTTGATTTTTGAGGACCCTCTGTAATTTTTTTCTTTTACATCACAAACAAACAGCATCCCTGAAAAGGACAGATTCTTCAGCACATTTTCTCCCCCATTCTTCACGGTATTTGCTCTTTCTCTCATTTGCTTTGCTTTCTCTTACCCCCTTTTGATTGCTTGCTTGATGATGAGGGTATTCCCTCATTATGAAATTTTTTCTATGATCCATTTTATTATTCTGCTCATTTTGTGTTTTGTGAAATCTCTGATGTTTCAGCTTTGATTGGATTGTTATACAGGGATTCTGTGATAGGCTTGTTGAGCTGGATAATGAGGTTCTTGCCGGAAAGGGGGTTTTGAAACCAATTTAGAATCAAAGATGAGGGACCCTTATACGGTTGCTGGTCGCGGCAGCCCCAGTGAACTCAAATGCGATTGTAACATAGGTTTTTTCTTAGTATAGCCAATCCAATTGATCTTTTCTGTCTCCGGTTTCGAGTGTATTCAACGGGGTAGTTTGTATAGAAAAACCTGGCGATTTTGTGTAGAGTCTGTTGCATAGCTCTGCGGCTATTGACCTCTGCTGCATTGTGATCACCAAGCAATGGGGGATGGATGGATTCCAATAAGATTTCGGTTCTCAAGTTTCATAGCTTTCGTTGTCGTTTTCGGTATTAAACTTTGTTTCTCTCTCAATGATGAAGGTAAATCTTCTTTTTAATTATCGTTTCTTTCCTTTTTCCCCATCAAATGGATTGAATTCATCATATTTATGCCTTGTGGATTTTGTTGTGGGAAGCGTAGGGTTGGCACTGTTGGCATTCCGGGCTCAAGTAACTTCTGATCCTCGTGGTGCTTTGATTGATTGGAATCTGGAGGAGAACGATCCCTGCCGATGGTCTGGTGTTCATTGTGTCGGCGGTGAAGTCCACAGGCTGTATGCACTCCATTTCGAATAACCTCATTATACTCTCTTTAAAATACACAAACACTCTGATATTATTCATGGTGCTGAAGTTGAGCTGAAGTTGAATAGTGCTGTAATAAAAATCTTGTAGGCCTTAGACAATGCTTCCTCGTTCTTGAGTTTAAATCTGGTTAACTAGATTATGCCACTAGTTTGGTCTTCGTTATAATATGATAATCTGATGTTTCTTCTCTACTTCTTGCAGGGATCTGAGTGGCCTTATGTTGAAAGGGACACTGACGCCAGAACTTGGGAGACTCAGTCATTTACGATCGCTGTAAGCTTTTGTGATACTATCAAGTGATTCTTTTTATGAACCTAGCTCCTTAATATTGAACTTACAATTCAGGATTTTGATATTTGTAGTACTTAGCATATGCACTTTTTTTAATTCCTATTTAAAGTCTTTTGGTTTTTTACTTCTATTCTACTTTATGCATTGACAGTATTCTCTATAAGAATTGTTTCTTTGGCACCATTCCTCGTGAGATTGAAGGACTAACGCACTTGGAGCTGTTGGATTTGAGGGATAATAACTTCAGTGGAACAATTCCTGCAGAAATAGGCAGGATCACCAATCTAAAATGCTTGTAAGTTTATCTTTAACAAACCATTTTTATATCGAGTGTTTGCTCAGACACTTTATCAGTAGAAACTTGACAAAATTGCCAACCTAAAGATCTATTGAATTCTCAAGTTGCTCTACATCATGGACTTATTTTGTTCTCTGTTCACAATCTCAGGTTGCTCTGTGACAACGAATTTGAAGGCAGTGTTCCGTCAGAGCTTCAGAATCTCAGCTTTCTCTATGAATTACAGTTTGATGATAACCTTGTATTTTTATGGGATGCTGAAGTTGGCTGTGTATATAGAAAGCTTGGACACTGGTATGAACTTTATCTCTTCCTTCGTACCACCTTATTTAACATGCCCAAAGATATTAGTCAAATGTACTTAATGTCAATATGAAGATCAATGCTTGAAAGTTTTCAGTAACATTCAACTCATTACTCGAAAGTCTTCGACGTGTTAACATTTTATCTGCTCCTTTAATGGGGTAGCATCTGGCAGAGAAATCCCAGTTATATGAAAAGTTCAGACTCATCTGCAAGTGAAAACAATGCTTTCGTCCGATACCCCAGTTCCTTGCCAAATTCTCCGTATGTAATTGAATATAATTCTTCTTTGACCTTCCATGTATTCTTATAATGGAGGTGTTTCTTGATTGATTGTTGAAATTGCTTGATTCTCTTTCAAGGCTCAAGCTTGGAAAGGACTCTCTACGTGACCATAAAGAAAACAACAATGATAATCTACCTAGTGAGTACAGAACTTTTGAAAACTTCGAATATTGGAAATGACACCTCGAAGATATGAAATTATATTGTATTGTGTTGAATCAGGTTCTGTTCCACATGATGTGGAGGACAGTGTACAGAAACTTGTTGATGCTCGGCGACGTAAGCTTCTTGATGAATCGAGCAACCTCGCAGCTGCACCTGTTAGCAGTACGTTGCCCAACTCAGATTCGGTCAATTCCGTTACAAGTGCGAGAAGTAGTGGTACTTTCCCAGCTGTACCAAAACCAAAACAGGAAACTCCTCCTCCTGCACCAGTCTCTTCTTTCCCTCCCCCTCAACCACAAAATACTTCATCCCAGTCGGATGTGCTGCCAATTCATCAACCACAAGACAATTCTTCTGGAAATTTCTGGAAGTATGCAATCATAATTGGAGGTGTATCCTTATTACTCATTTTGGCTGCAATAATTCTCTGCATGTGCCGGAGCCGAGGAGTGACCACCATTGGTCCTTGGAAGACTGGATTGAGTGGGCAGTTGCAGAAAGCATTCATAACAGGTATATTAATTGAGTGATTAACAACAAGTGTTAATGAGTATGATCCGTCGGTTCATAAACCAGAAAACTATCTGAAAGAAAAAGGATAACTAGTCCTAGTTTGATGTATTTTTAGTGCAGGATTCAGAGTATCGTGTATCTTTTTGATGATTCGGGACTGAACTGTGTTTATTTTTCTTACCAGGGGCACCCAAATTAAATCGACCAGAATTGGAAGTAGCCTGTGAGGATTTCAGCAATATCATTGACACATTTGATTGCAGCACTATCTACAAAGGAACACTATCAAGTGGAGTAGAAATTGCTGTTGCATCAGTCTCAGTTACTTCCTCTAAAGATTGGTCAAAGAGTTCGGAGCAAACCTATCGGAAAAAGGTTTCTATTTTCTTTTTTCCTTCACCATCCAATTCCCTCTGATGGAACTCAAAGATAGATTCCACTTGAAAATTAACATCATTTCATTCTTCGAATTGTGCATGATATTTCTCTCCTTAATCCATCACTCCTAAAACATATTAAACTGCATGCAGATTGATACATTATCGCGGATCAACCACAAGAATTTTGTTAATCTTCTTGGTTATTGTGAGGAGGAAGAACCCTTCACTAGGATGATGGTGTTCGAGTACGCTCCGAATGGAACCCTTTACGAGCACCTGCACGGTAATTTTTCTTTGACAAGACAACTATGGCATGCAAGTCTTATCCAAGTATCTTGAAGGCTCTACTCTATAAGGCTAACATCAATGTTGCTCTTTGTTGGTCAGTTAAAGAAGTTGAACATCTTGACTGGGGTGCAAGGATGAGGATAATTATGGGAACAGCATATTGCCTTCAGTATATGCATCATGATCTAAATCCCCCAGTGGCACATACTAATCTCACATCATCAACTATTTATTTAACCGATGATTATGCTGCAAAGGTATACACTTATAATAATATAAACTCCCAATTTAGTTGCTTTCATTACTATTTGAAAAAGTTTTTTTTATAGCATCTCCTCCCATGGTTTTGCAGATTGCAGAGATCATTTTCTTATCAAATGGGGTATCAAAATATAAAAACGCAGGTGACCACGATGCCGAGCATTCTGAGTTGCCACCCCTCGCGGATCCAGAATCGAACGTGTACAGTTTCGGGGTATTGTTGCTGGAAATCATCTCAGGAAAGCTGCCATACTCGGAAGATCAAGGGCCCCTTGTGAACTGGGTATGTTCAGAATCCCCAAAGCTGAAGCAAATATAGAGTTAAACAATGAAGTGAACATGTTGTGAAGTTGTTATACATGTATGTGCATTGCAGGCTGCAGAATTTCTAAACGACAAGTGGAGTATTAGCTACATGATCGATCAGAGTCTGAAATCATTCAAAAACAACGAGCTGGACGTGATCTGCGAGGTGATCCAAGATTGCATCAAACCAGATCCAAGGATGAGACCAAGCATGAAAGATGTCACTGCAAAACTAAGGGAAGTGATCGGTCTGTCACCGGACCAGTCGGTCCCGAGACTGTCTCCCCTATGGTGGGCTGAACTGGAGATCTTATCTGTGGAGGCTACTTGAACATCTTGCCTCCATTGTTGCAAAGTATAGTATGCTTCTCCCTGTGTTAATATCTAATAGCCTATTTCAAACTCTGGGTCCTCCCCTGCTGTTTCATTTGCTTTGCTCTCAGTCTCAACAACACTACACACCATGGCATTTGGAACCCCTTTCTTGTTTTTTCTTTTCTTTTTCTCTCT